GAAAGTAACACGTAACCCTTTCAACCTTGCTCTTTCACCTATCACACTGCATATGAGCTACTTCCGTGGCCGAAGGCGTAAAACCAGGTCGAGTTATACTGTATTTAATATTCATCATAAATCCTACCCTAGTCCGACATAATCTTGTTACAGACGATGTCAGTCATACTTAAATAGCCAATCAGTTTCACTTTACATTAATTTTCCTTTATCCCTTTCTTGTTTATTTCATTGTACCTTCTCTTGTTGTCAGTCTTCTCCTTCTCTTTCTTCTTCCCTTCTTTCGTTATATCGTTTTTCCTTTCCTTCCAATATTTCTTATTTCTTCTATCTCTTCCTTTTCACTTTCCTTCTCATCCCTTCTTCTTTCTTTTCAATTCTTCCTCTTCTTTTCCATTCTCTTCAACTCTACTTTTTCTTCTTCTTTCTCCTCATCATTTTCCTCCACTTTCTATCTTTCTTTTGCTGCATTCCCCTTCCTAAAAGAATCTTCACATAGATACAGAAATCCCTCAAGAATGAATCTCCTGATCGCCTGCAATCTCTCTTGCAAAGGCCTGTCCGGGTTGCATTGTTTTCTTGATTGAACAGGATCTGAGTAACTGCAGCGCTGGTTTCATCGTACCGCCCTCGTCATCAAAGGAGAGTTATTAATGATATGGTTTTCGCTTTTATGACTGTGTAAATGTGGGTATTAGGGTAGGTTGATATATGTGTTCTGTGTGATGATAAATAGATTGGTTGATACATACGGATACAAAGAGGCAGGGATCATTATTATTATCATTATTATTATTATTATCATTATTATTATTATCAATATGATAATTATTGTTGTCATTACTATCATTATTACTATTATCATTATTATCATGATTCCTATTATTATCATTATTGTTATTATTGTTATTATTATTATTATTATTATTATTATTATTATTACTATTAATATTATTATTATTATTATTATTATTATTGTTATTGTTATTATTATTACCATTATCATTATTATTATCACTATCATCATCCTCATCATCCTCATAATTATTATTATCATTTGAAATATTGACACTTTTTTGTGCTTGTATAATGATCATGATACAACACTGATAATTATAACAATGGTTAATAACAGTAATAGAAATAAGAATAACAGTAGCAGTAATAATGATGACGACAAAAATATATATCACAGCAACACTCCGTCCTTTCTCTTCTGATTACTTCCTGTGTTTTTGTGTCTCTTGCCTAATACCCTTCTTATCCTCTTTGCTCTTTCTTTTCTTAATTTCCCTCCCCCCCCTTTTTTTTGTTTTATTTTCCTTCTTCTTAGTTTTCTTCTTATTTTTGTTTGTTTTAGTTGACTCTCCTCTTTGATACCTCCTATTCTTTCTGTTTTTATATTTTTGTTATTAATTATTGTTATCCTCTTCTTTATCATTCGTTCTTTTTTTGTTGCCTTCTATCTCCTCTTCTATTCCTGCTAAGGACTTTTTCTTCTTCCTCGTCTTTGATTATCATTAACTTACTCGTCTTCTTCTTGATAGTGTTCGTCGTTTTCTTCTTCTTCTTTTTCTACTGTTCTCCTCTTCTCTTCTACTATTCTTCCAGTTTTTCCTTTACGTCTTTTTGCTTCTTATTCTTGCAGTCATAAACTTCTATCTTATCATTTGCAAACTCTTTTGTGTATTCTCTCTCTCTCTCTTTCTCTCTCTTTTCTTTATGCTTTGAGAATAAATACAGGGGGTTAGTTCTACTTCATTGTGCTTTTAAACCTAAATCTTTCTTATCAATGAAAATCTATCTAGAAGCTTGACCTAGTGAGAAAGAGCAACTCGTGTCTTTGTTATGAATTGAAAGACTAATTATTAACCAGGATCGTGGAACCTCCATATAGGTAGCGCAGACTTGAAGGCCTGAAGGCCGGGGAGGATGTGCAGAGAGATGCTGAATCATCGTGTTCCAGAGCCTGGAATATTTGGGTTGAAAGGAGCGTTGATGAAGTTCAGTCCTGGAGAAGGGTATTTGCAGCTCTTGACCGCGGTTGCTAGAGTGTCGTGTTGCTGTGCAGTGGAGCCGCTCGTGGTTCAGGTCGCAGAGACATGAGAAGGGACGTGTTGCTTGTGTAGAGTACGCAGAGAGCTAAAATATCTCGTCGATGCTGAAGTGGCTGGAAGTGTAATTGTCGGTCTTCTACTGGCCTTTTAAATGACACTAGTCTCTGGGCTCGTTTTTGGACCTTGTCTAGTAGTCCCAGGTATGATGGAGGGCAGCAGGACCACACCAGAGGGCAGTATTCTATAACGGAGCGAACCTGGGAATGGTAAAGCGTGCAGCAGACTTTGGCGTCAAGGAGAGGTGCGATTCGACGGACGCATGCCAGTTTCCTCGCCGCGCTTCTCGCCAGTCCCCTGACGTGGTCTGTGAAGGTGAGGCGGCTGTCGATCTGTTCCCCTATGATGCTGATGTCGCTGTCGCAGGTGAGGGTCTTGCCGTCCAT